CCTTACCCCCTGCAATTGTTTAACCTTTAGCCAAATCCCATATTCAAACCAGCAAAACTGACTTCACAGAGGAAAGCAGCCGCTGCTTTCCCCCTTCTTTATTTAGTGAGTTCACGGGAAAAGGAAGAACCTAACAAGGAGAGGGAAGCAACTCCTGTTCATGGTCTCCAGCCCATGCTACCTTTCCCACAATGCCATTCTGTCTTGATCTCGCATTAATCTGCAAATTCTCCTTATGCAGACACTTGCATTTAACTGTACATACTTTTTAAAAATGCATACTTTTCTCCCAAAATATCCACTTTTAAATGTATTTAGTGCTTTTCCAGCTGCACTGGCTCCCAGAGGAGTACAGGGTCAGATTTAAGGTGCTGGTTCTGACCTTTAAAGCCCTTCACGGCCTAGGACCCTCGTACCTACGGGACCGCCTCTCCCGGTATGCCCCACAGAGGACCTTAAGGTCCATAAATAGCAACACCCTAGTGGTCCCAGGCCCTAAGGAAATTAGATTGGCTTCAGCCAGAGCCAGGGCCTTTTCAACTCTGGCTCCGGCCTGGTGGAACGCTCTGACTCATGAGACCAGGGCCCTGCAGGATCTGATTTCTTTCCGCAGGGCCTGTAAGACAGAGTTGTTCCGCCTGGCCTTTGGCTTGGAGCCAATTTGATTCCCTCCCCCTCTTCCTTTTTCCTTTCTCCTCCTGTGAAGAGGCTGCATTTTAATATTTTAATGTTTCAATATTTTAATGTTGTTTTTAAGTTGTATTCATTCAACTTGTTTTTATTATTGCTTGTTAGCCGCCCTGAGCCCGGCCTTGGCTGGGGAGGGCGGGGTATAAATAAAAATTATTATTATTATTTTAATGCATTTGAATACTCGGGAAGTGCCAAGGCTGGCAGACAACTAAGCTGGAATCCACACTGGAAAACGTAGATTGGTTTTTTACTGGAACTCACAAGTAACAAGTTCTTCAAGCGCTTCAAGGGGTTATTAATTTGTTTGGCTTTGCTTTATTATATATTCTGTGTTTTCAATTTTGTATTTTTATGTGGAAGTCTGATCTTTCGCTACGCAGTACAGATCTAACCTCATGTTTTGATGTTTTGAACGGCCCTGTGGTCTTCGAATGAAGGATGGTATACAAATTTAGTAAGTAAAATAAAAATAAATACTTCCCACACCTAAAATTGTCTCCATCCACCACCCCTCCCCAAATTGAGTTTCTTACCCTTGGGCAGGTTGGGTGGCAGGAGTGGAGAGGAACAATAACTCCCTCTCTGTACCCAGCAACACAATCAGATTGAACAGAAAGTGGGTGATACTGGGAAGGCACAGGAAGAATTATGTATATTTAAAAAGAAAAGCATCAACTCAGGATGATAAAGCATACAAGTCCATAAAACAGATCCTAACCCATATGCACAGAATATCCTTTCAAAGCCCTAAACAGTTTAGGCTACCTGAAGGATGGCTTACACCACTGACCCTGCTTGTGATCTGAAGTCGACATTTGAGGTCCTGCTTGGGCACTCACTGGAAACATCAGCTGGTAAGTACATAAAGCTGTGTTGGCCCTGCATTGTGCAACTCTTTCCCAATTAGAAGCCACTTGGTCCCTTCATTTCTGTCATTAGGGCAGGCCTTTATTTAAGGAGAGGAGAGGAGCTTTGATACTGCCTTTTCTTAAGTGGGCTTAGGTGATCTAATTAGGTTACTCCCATGCATCTATTTGTCTGTATCCACTCAGTGCTTCACATTCTGCCAGGTGTTGTATTATTTTTACCAGGGCTTTTTTCAGCAAGAACTCAGTTCCAGTACCTCTCAGGTGGGCACCATTACTAAGAGAACGATGGAGGCATTCATTGTGAGTTCCAGCACCTCTTTTTCTAGAAAACAGCAATTATTTTTACTTTGTCTTTCACTGCTAAGAGTATAAATCCTAAGAAGTCACGGTTCAAAAAACAAGGAGGTCGGCATAGTTTTTAGCATATGTGCAGGGAAAAGAACTTATTTGAAAATGCGGGAACGAACCTCACCACTGCAGAAAGTCAGTTTTCACTGGAAACAAAAAACCTTGATGGAAAATGTGGCAGAGAAATGACTGACAAAGGAACTATTCAATTCACAGCCGTTTTGCCTACTTGCAACATTTCTCCTGAAAATGCTTATTTGAAACTTGCCAGAAACAAAAACATCACTACAGCACCATCCAGTGGCTAAAAATGTGCACACACACAAAATGATGGGCAAGAACCACAAAGCAGAGGGGATGTGCTATAGTCAAGATTTCTTACATCCAGTGCTTTCTTTTCTGGGGGGATGCAGGGGTACGCATACCCCTAAACATTTTATGAATCTAAGTTTGGCCTCACTGAGAGGCAGTATTTCAATATGAGTAGGAAAATGAGAGTACCCCCTAAACATATTTTTAGATAAAAAAACCACTGCTTACATCTGTTCCTGTAACAGTAGCAGTAAGTACCACCACCATACACAATAATGCAAGGAGGGAATCATGGTTTGGATATACAGTGGTACCTTGGTTCTCGAAGGGTTTGGCTCCCTAACAAATTGGCTCCCGAACGCTACAAACCCGGAAGTGTTCCAGTCTGCAAACATTTTTTGGAAGCTGAACATCCTACACGGCTTCTGCTTTACTGCAGGAGCTTCCTGCAACCAATCAGAAGCCGCACCTTGGTTTTCAAACCGTTTTGGGAGTCAAGGTACCACTGTAAAAAGGTAAAGGTAAAGGGACCCCTGACTGTTAAGTCCAGTCGCAGACGACTCTGGGGTTGCAGTGCTCATCTTACCTTTCTAGCCGAGGGAGCCGGCATTTGTCCGCACAGTTTTTCTAGGACATGTGGCCAGCATGACTAAGCCGCTTCTGGAGAAACCAGAGCAGCGCAGGGAAATGCCGTTTACCTTCCTGCTGGAGTGGTACCTATTTATCTACTTGCACTTGACGAGCTTTTAAACTGCTAGGTGGGCAGGAGCTGGGACCAAGCAACAGGAGCTCACCCCATCGTGGGGATTCAAACAGTTGACCTTCTGATCGGCAAGCCCCAGGCTCTGTGGTTTAGACCACAGTGCCACCTGCGTCCCTCAGGTACCACTGTATTCATAGCTAAAGCTTATGGAATGGAAATGAGCAGATGAAGGGATAAGGAGAAGTAACTAGAACAACCTGTGGCCTTTCAGATGTTGATGAACCACAATTCCCATCACCCTTGACCACTGGTTGGGGCTAGTCTCCTGTTTCAATTATGGTGCTGTTTTTAATGAGGCTGTTTTATTGCATGTTTTAATTACAGGTGCTTATATTTTAAACACACACAAATATACCCTGCCCCCTCCATCAAATTTTCACAGTACAAAGTGATGAGAATTGCACTCGGAAATGTGAGATAACAATTGATTGATACTTATTAAGCATTCATTCCAATTCGTTTATAACACACAATATGACTCCTGCACAGACTTTAGCAGGCATCTACACTATGACTTTAAAGCACATCCAATGCACGTTTAAAGCATGTGGCTCCCCTGCAAAATATGGGAACTGTAGTTTCCTGCTAACATAGCTACAATTCCCAGCCCCCTTAACAAATTACAGTTCCCAGGATTCTTTAGGGGAAGTCATGTGCTTTAAATGTGTGTTGGATATGTTTTAAATGTATAGTGTGGGGCTGCACTTTTCTTTGCCGGGCACACCAAGGAACAGGGATGCTGTTAGGACTCCAAATCCCATCAGCCTCAGCTAGCATGGCCAGTGGTCAGGGATGATGGGAACTGTAGATCAACCATCAACCACATCTGGAAGGTGCAAGCTTTGCCACCCATGCCCTAGTAGTTCTCATATTGATCAAGCCTCATGTTATTTTATTCTAGTGTATATTTAATGAAAGCAGAAAGGACCCTCTTTTCTTTAAATTCAGTGGACAAGCTTCTTTAGAGCAAAATTAAAGTGGCCTTCTGCAACATGGTGCATCATAACGGGGGGTGGGCTTGGGCTGTGATCTTCGATGAGGGTTTTACAAGCAGGTCCTGGTTTTCATCTGTGAACTGTTGACAGGTTGTGTAAGCAATCTTTCCTTTAAGCAGTAGATAGAGCTGCATGATGTACTTCCGGGTCATTTTCTGCAGAAAACTGCCAATCCACGATTGGTTTGCACTGAAGGCTTGGCTAGCTGAACTCAGGCTTAATGTTCACATTAACATGAAAGCTGGTAACATCATGAAAGTCACAAAGACTGAAAACATTTATCTTCTGAAGACTGCAGGTGGATTCAGATGACCTGTTACAAACTCATGGGGACAGGGTAGATATAACGCAGCCCAACTATGGTATGATATCAGTATTTCCCTCATCTTTTCTCTTTGGATCATCTCATTTAGCTGTGATTCCTGCATTGCAAGGGGTTGGATTAGATGACCCTTGGGTCCCCTTCACGTTCTGTGATTCTATTATTCCTCCTCTCAGTTTCAGAGCCAACTGTGCGAAAATTCACTCTTAGCCATAAAACTGAGCAGTTACATAAGAGGGTTAGCCCAAAGTACAGTATGCAACCGCAGCTGGAAGCAGGGGTTACACATGAAATTATGCTAACCTCATCTGTCATGTTAAAAGCTCAGCAGATGCTGGCACTTAGCACTTCTTTCGCAGACAACCACACACAACTTGTGGACATTGGAATGCAGTGCTAGCCCTTAGGGTGAAGGGCAGGTAAGAGATCAAAATCAAATAATTTTAAAGTCAGGGCAATGGCTCTGAGAGCTCTACAGGTGAATAATGCATGAATAAGGCTCATGCCTACTGCTAATATATTTAACAGAAACAGTTTTCATAAGAGATCTTACTAATCTTTATTGAGCTTCCACTTCAGGTACTTATAGAGGCTTAATGCTGATGTACAGGTAACTTGCAACTTACACTTACTTAACGTATGTGCTCACAGCTTTAAGCACATTGCCAAAAAATAATAATAGTAAATTAAAAATGATGCAGAAATGGCACACAGAGTGAAAAAATGAAAGCCAGCAGCCTTCACTGAGTGTGTTTGGGTGAAGAGGCAGATGGAGAGGGTGCGGAGGAGGCCATGGAGACGAGTAATTTTTTTAATGGTTTTTAAGAGGTGTTCTGGCTTTATGTGATTTTGCTTATGCGCACGATAGCCAGGAATGTAATCCCTGGCATGTTAAGTTGCAAGTTACCTGTACGTTATAGCCCCCGTTATCAAATCCTATTCCCCCAAGCATTTTCTTATCCAAATGGATACTGCCTGCTAAATGGTTTATGGCAAAGTAACCTCAAGCAAACTCAACACTGAAACATAATCAAAAGTCTAAAACCTGAATGACATTGTGCCCTATTTGAAATAGGGCTGAGCAAAGAAGTGCGTGTTTAGAGGTGGGCAGGAGGGGGGATTTTTGCTACTGCTTGCTTCCTGGACCACTAAGGCCATGTCAAAGTTACAAGTCAGTGAATTGGTTTTCTTTTGCTGCAAAGCAGCCCATATTTTAATTTCATTTGCCACTGCAAGCACACATGTATGTTGAAATTATATATACAGGAGTAGTTTCAAATGTGTGAGCTTCCTTTTACAGCTGATTTATTCAAATGCCAATTACTTTGTCCAAGAATGCAGCAAATTTTTCTGGCTGTCCAGGAGGGAAAGGCTTCAGGGTTGAAAAGTCTGATGTTTGAAGTGTCTTCAGAAGGGTCCTATAGAAAAATAACCCCAAAAAAACACCCCACACACAAAAATTACGATTTTGGAAGAGGTAGTTCATTCAGTTCTTTTACCCTTATAAATAGCCCTACAAGATACAACAGATTACATTATAGTGACTTGCCCAAGATTACCTGATGAGCTTCCTGGCTGAGCAAATATTTACCGTATAAGACTCACTTTTTCCCTCCTAAAAAGTAAGGGGAAATGTGTGTCCATCTTATGGAGCAAATGCAGGCTGCACAGCTATCACAGAAGCCAGAACAGCAAGAGGAATTGCTGCTTTCACTGCGCAGCGGTCCCTCTTGCTGTTCTGGCTTCTGAGATTCGGAATTTTTTTTCTTTCTTGTTTTCCTCCTCCAAAAACTAGGTGCGTCTTGTGGTCTGGTGCGTCTTACAGAGTGAAAAATACGGTAATCCCTACACCCAGACTAGATCCACTACACCATGCTGGATCCCATGATCAATTTCACAAGCTTTCCATGAGCTGGATTTGCACATTACAGCAGATGTGCAGCTACCATTTTAAATAAATAAATAAATAAATAGTAGTCCTGCTTCCCTTCTTCCTAGTAACATCCAGTAACACAAAATGTGAGATGCCACTCCAATAAGCTGCAGGTTTTCCTGCCTCTGAGTGCCACTTCACTGGCTGCTCCTTGAGGTCAGGGAAACTCACAGTGGCAATGATTCTGTATCATATATTGTGCACTGCTAGTCCTAGGTGGAAGAATGAAATGTGGAGGCTGCTTTTTTCAGTGGTAGTTCTGTATCTACTATAACATTTCAGAAGAACACAGAGCAGAAAAAAACGTTTTGCTTGCTTGTTTGGCTGCTTTGGGTTTTTTTTCCCTAGAGAGAGGACAAGGAAACTGAGCAGGAGTTTTATTTATTGAAGGGTTGTCTTCCAACTGCTGTTCTTTCTCACATATCCCCCTAAATACACACCCAGGTGTTAGGTTCAGCAGAGGAGGCCATCTTGGTAGTTCCTCTGCCTTCAGAAGCTTGGGTGGTAGTGGCCTGGGAGAGGGCATTCTCTGAGGCAGCCCCTAAGCTGCAGAACACCCTCCCCACAAAGGTGCTTCTGGTATCTTTGTTATACAGCTTCCAAGTGTGAAAGTCAAGCTCAGGAGGCTGAGGTGACCATCATGAAGTCTCAGCTTCCAAGTCCTGTTTCAGTGTTTCATGGATTTCCTTATTTATACCCCCAGCTTTCTTCCATTATGAAATCTAAAGCAGCTTACATTGATTGGTTCTCAGGCGGTCTTCCAGCCAGGCACTGACTGGAACCAGGGCTGCTGAAGTTCTGCAAGGTAGGTGGGGGCTTATGTACCTTCAGAGGGCTGACCAAGAAGGGGTCTTGAAGTCTCAGAGTGAGTACCCAGCTCCTGCACAACAGGAACTGTATGAACATGCTTCCTACAACATCCCCTCCTTGGAGTCCCCCTCGTATAGGTCAATGGAGTCATGACACCACCTGGACTCTGCTTCCAAAGCTAACGAAGAAGGGATCTCTGTAAGGATCAATGTTTATTCCTTGAAGCTGGGGCTCTGGCTTAAGCCAGAGAATACAAAAGGTGCTGTATCTTAATGGCCGGAAAAGACTCATTGATTGTGAACATTCTTCTTCCTGCCACAGTCCACTGGTTTGAGACATGCATTGTTGCTTCCTTACTTCCAGGAAGGTCAACATGGATAGTTTGCAGAAGGGCAACTAAATGGTGTTGAAGAAGAGCCATGCCTGCAAGTTAGGGGGAATGAGATGCACATTGCTTTAAACAGCCTCTGCATCAGGTAACTCAAGAGCCAGTAAATAGGGTGATTAAGATCTGCAGCACTAAATTGATTCAACAGTTTTTGTAACTTTGTGTTGTGAACTGCCCTGAGACCTATGGCTGTAGTACGGTATACAAATTTAATAATAAAGTAAGTAAGTTTGCAGGAAAGCTTGCAACCAAAACAGTGTTAAAGAAGATCCATACCTGCAAGTGCAGTAAAAGAGGTGGCCATCCCTGCACAGCTGCCTTGCCAGTTCTAACTGGTGATTGTCCATAAGCTTGTCATTTACAACTACCAGTAGTGGCTTCCCTGCTTCCAATACTTCCAAGCAGCTACCAGCACCTGTAATAGTAAAACAGCAATGAAGAATAACTAAATTACCCACCCTTCACACTAAGATCCCAGGGAAGGTGACAACAATCAAAGCACAATGCTAAAAACAGTTTACAACAACTTACAATCAGCGAAACATGTGTTACATCTCAAGTGTCAAAAGCCAGGGCAAAGAGGTGTATCTTCAGCAACAACATTCAATTTCACTTAGCAGTGAACAAGAATTCATGCCAAGGACCACCAGGGCTAGAAATGAATATCCAGCAACATCTACCTTTTGAGGGCTTTTGTTCCTCTGAAGGAACCTTGTCAAACATCCATACTCCCATTAATTTGATGTACTTAACATTACACTGAGGGGCATAAAACACATATTAAGAAAGCAATCCTGTGTTTGGTAGAAGGGTGGCTAAGAGCCCGTAAGATGCTGCAGACCTCCCTCTCTCCAGACAAAATGCCCCTCAGAAGGGCACTGGGCCAGATCTGGGGAGGCCTTTGATTCACCAAATTAAAAGCCCCGTGTTATCCTGACACAACATCAGAAAGGATGTGAAACTATGCCAGCCTTGGAACCCTCACTAATGTGGTGGAGAGGATACAGCACAGTTGGTTTAACATCCCATATGTGGTGGGATATGTTGATGCCAATCAAGACTTTTCTCATTGAAATAGAAGTTTTACCTGCATGACTTATGACTAGATCGGCTGTTTGCACATCTTCAGAGAGTGAGTTCTTGAACCTGAACACTTCCAGGGTAAATGTAGGTGTGCTGGTTGAAACAGGGCAAACTGTGCCCCTGCCAACCTGAAGGACAAGTCTGCTGTAGCCAAGATCCTGTAAAACCTGTAGAGGGAAAGGAAATTACAATCAGACTTGGTACTGACTTAAGTTAAATGCAAGAATAGCACATCAGATGCTGTGAGTGTGAGCTAATTTGCCCCTTCAAGTACATAAAGCCTAGCCAGACGCAAAAATATATAGGAGCATTTGGCAACTTATCAGTGTGCTTGTATCTTCCTGGTGAGACAGTCTTTATGTATAAACAGTAAAATGAAATTAGTGTACATCACGTATGATAACTGTCATTTGCATTAACCTTAATTAGGTACGTAATGCAATCTTGTATCTGTAACCCACATATTCAATATCATTTTCTGTGAATTAGTTACTGCTTGCCTTGGACTTTGTATTGCAAGCAGGGTAGCTCTGCAGGGACAATTTGGGACAATTTGTGTGCAAAAGTGTTTCCCCATAATCCAGTGGGGATTCTTACCCCCATTCTTATCCACCATTCTTAATGGTGGAGATTTTGCTATAAAATTGTACTGGTCTCTTACTAATCCTATGCAGAATTAAATTCCCTTAAGCCCATTTATTCCACTAGGCTTTGGTGCATTCATCCCTGCATAGATGGGAGGCTGCTGCTCGACCAGGCAGATTCATATTTAAATCAAGGGCCACACAAGCACAGACAGGCTGCTAATACACTTCTGATATTCCACTTGTATCTGTTAACTCCCATTAAAACAGAGATGGAAGACCTGTGGCTGCCCAGATGTTGGACTGCAGCTCCCATCAGCAGGCCCGTGAAGGAGAGGAGGCAGCCAGGTACACTTGCCCTGGGCCTCAGAGGGCTAAGTCACCCACAGAGGCCCACCAGGGATTTTGGAGTTTATTCTAAGACTCCTGCCCTGAGCCTCAGACCAGCTCTGCACAGGCTTGCCCATCAGCCCCAGCCAGAATGGCGTATGCCTGAGAATGATGGAAGCTGAAGCCCCCAGGGAAATCTGGAGGGTCACAGGATCCCCAGCCCTGCATTAAAACAATAAGAGTGCTTATTTCTGGTGATAAACGTGACATGGATTGCACCACTGAGGTACATTCCACCAGCACTACCACCCCCAAAAAGTACAATGGGAACTGTTAAGGGTGCTCAGAGTTGCTAGAAGACCCCACTCCCATGTTCCCCCTCATGGACCTCCAATTTTTAGAGCGGTTTACCCCTAAATAATAATACCCCTACCCAGGAAAGTCTAGCTCTGTGAGGGGAATAGTGTGTACGTGTGTCTCCCAATAACACTCGGCGCCCTCAACCAAAGTGCTGCTTCCAAGACGTTTTGCGGGAAGAAGCTATGCCTGCTTATAATGTGAATGCACAGTGCAGTCTCTTCCATGGATCACTGTGGAATTTACTTCTGAGTAACCCAAGCTAGAGGACGGGCAGGAATCATCCTGCACCTTTGTCTTTCTTCACCTATCACGTTCGCCCCCACCCCCAATATCCTTCCATGCAAAGTGCGGAGCAATACTGGGGTTCCCTTTCTTATTGGAAGCAACATTCCAGACAGGGACTCAGAAAAAAAGCAAGGCTCGCAGAACTGCTAGAAGATGCCGGATGTGACGCCACGCCGGCTACACGCGCCGTTTCCGCCCGTCCATCGCTCGCCTCCGGCGGTTGCCTAGCGACGGCGGCCAAATTCGGGAGAAGCGGGAAAAGAGAGAGGGCAAGAAGGTGGAAGAGCCTCGCCTGCAGAGCCTCCGGAGCCGTCACGGCGGCGATGAGGTCGTCGAAGCTGGTCGTGCCCACGGTGACAAAGGCGGATTTCATGGCCGGCGGAGAGGCGTCGTGACCATAGGGAAGGAAAGCTAGAGCGGAGGTCACGTAACGTCTTGGATGGGAAAAACCTCCCCACGCACCAGAAAGCCGGCGCCCTTCTGAAACGAGCAGTATCTATGGTAATCCCAGTATGCTTTGCGAGGGGAGCTGAGCAGGGAAAAGTCGCCCAGAGATAGGAAAGTGTAGAGAAATGCATCTCCTTGTTTCAGTGGGTAAATTCAAGATCGTTTGGAAACCATTCTTTTAGACGCAGGTTGGCGGAGACAAAAGACGGTGGTAGGTAGCGGTTAGAGTTCCTGACTAGGAATCTTAGAGGTGAAGGGTTGGAATCCACTCGGCCAGGAAATTTATTGGATGACCTTCCACGCCACTCACTGTTTCTCTTAGCTTTACCTACCTCACAAGGTTGCTGTGAGGATAACAATGAAGAGTGGGTAGAGCCATTTGGAGCTCCTGGGAGAAAAAAGAATTGGCCAAGTTTGACAGGTGAGCAGGGTTGACCACCTCTTTGGCGATCGCTCATAGCTGAGTAAGATTGTCTTCCATGAACATAGTTTTAACAATGAGTCCGTAAGTGACTGTGGAGACCAATTCTGAATCCACACGTTCCTCCACAGTGGGGACCTAGGTTTCTGAGCGGGAGTTGATCATGGTGAGGGTTTGCCAAACGTGCCTTCCACTTAGCACATTTCTCCCTTGCGTCTTGAGTTTGAGCATCCATGACACCTTTGGTCAAGACTGTTCTCCAACTGGAGCGCTCGCAGGCCAGTGTTTCCCAGTTGTTGGTGTTAATACTACATTTTGTTAGATTTGCCCTGAGAGAGGCTTTAAACCTCTTTCGTTGACCACCAGCATTACCCTTCCATTTTTAAGTTCGGAATAGAGTACAGTGGTACCTCAGATTAAGAACTTAATTTGTTCTGGAGGTCCGTTCTTAACCTGAAACCATTCTTAACCTGAAGCACCACTTTAGCTAATGGGGCCTCCCGCTGCCGTCGCTGTGTGATTTTTGTTCTCATCCTGAAGCAAAGTTCTTAACCCGAGGTACTATTTCTGGGTTAGCGGAGTCTGTAACTTGAAGCGTCTGCAACCTAAAGCGTCCATAACCCGAGGTACCACTGTAGTTGCTTTGGAAGACGATAATCAGGCATCCGTACAACATGACCAGTCCAACAAAGTTGATGTTGAAGAATCATTGCTTCAGCACTGGTGGTCTTTGCTTCTTCCAGTACACTGGTTTTAGTTCACCTGTCTTCCCAAGTGATGTGTGAAATTTTTTGGAGACACCGTTGATGAAATCTTTCGAGGAGTTGGAGATGGCGTTTATAAGTGGTCTATGTTTCACAAGCATACAGTAAGGTTGGTAGTGCAATAGCTTTGTATACAAGCATTTTGGTTTCCCTGTGAATGTCATTTGGGAGAAAGCCGCACTCGCAGAGCTGAGGCAATGCTGGATTTCGGCATCAATGTTGGCCCTTGTGGAAAGATAACTGCCCTGGTAGGAGAATTGATTGACACTTTCCAATGTTACACCACTGAGTTGGATTTGTGGAGCTGCAGAGGGGTTGTTCTTGTGCTTGTTGGTGCAGCACTTTGGTTTTTTGGATGTTGAGGGATAGGCCAAGCTTTTCGTAAGCTTCTGCAAAGATATTTAGGATGGCTTGGAGGCCATCCTCTGAGCGTGCACACACTACGTTGTCATTATCACACTGAAGCTCAATGACAGAAGTTATGGTAACCTTACTCTTTGTTTTCAGCCTATTCAGATTAAAGAGCTATCTATATGTTTGATATATGATTTCTACTCCGGTGGGGAGTTTCCCTTTGACAAAGTGTAGGATCATGGCAATGAAAATAATAAATAGAGTGGGGGCGATAACACAACTCTGTTTAACACCTGATCCCACTGTGAATGGTTCACTTTGAGAGCCATTGTTATCTGTGATTGCTGCAGTCATAATATCATGGAGGAGCTGAATGTTGTTCACAAATTTATCTGAGCAGCCAATTTTCAGAAGGACAGTCCACGGGGCATTATGATTTACAGTGTCGAAAAGCCTTAGTCAGATCAATAAATGCCATATACAGTGGTACCTCGGGTTACAGACGCTCAAGGTTACAGACGCTTTGGGTTACAAACTCCGCTAACCAGGAAGTGGTTGCTCCAGGTTAAGAACTTTGCCCCCGGATAAGAACGGAAATCGCATGCCAGCAGTAGCGGGAGGCCCCATTAGCGAAAGCACACCTCAGGTTAAGAACCGTTTCAGGTTAAGAATGGACCTCTGGAATGAATTAAGTTCTTAACCTGAGGTATCACTGTACAGGGGTTAGTTTTGCTCTCTGCATTTTTCTTGAAGATGTTGAGTGGTGAAAATCATGTCCACTGTCCCCCTAGAAGGTCAAAAACCATTTTGGGATTAGGAAGGGTAGCCTCGGATATTGTTAGAAGACGGTTTGCTAAGATCCTTTCAAGAATTTTGCTGGCTGCATCTAATAAAGAGATGCCTCAATAGTTTCCGCAATCCATTCTATCACATTTTAAAAATAGATTGATAATTTTGGCATCCCTAAAGGCTGCTGTGATCTCCTCTCTTTCCCAGATTTTTTCAATCAGCTTGTGAAGTTGTTGTGTAAGTTCAGTTCCATCCACTTTGAAGACTTCACCAGGTATCCCATCAGGTCCGCTGGCTTTGTTGTTTTTCATTTGGTTAATAGCTGTACACAATTCTCCCAGATTTGGAGATACTGCAAGCTCATCTCTAATTTGTTTCTGTGGAATTTGTGAGAGGACCTTAACAGCTATGGGGGAGTTGCAGTTAAAGAGATGCTGGTAGTGTTTTTTCCAGCACAGTGTAATAGCTTCTTTATCTTTTAGAAGTGTGGTACCATCTGTTGAGTGTAGGGGGCATATGCCATGAATTATTGGCCCATAGATGGTCTTTGTGGCTTTAAAGAAACTTGGTGCATCATGAGTGTCGGCTAAGTGCCAGATTTCTTGAGGGGTTTTTTTTTAATCAACCAGGTGTTCTCTGGTTGTTTTTTTTATCAACCAGGTGTTCTCTGGTTCTTCTTTGAACCTCAGCCTTAGCGTTGGCATAGGTTTTTTAATTAGTGGCACAATTTCTTTCTTCCTTTTCTTGTCAGTAATGCGTTAAATCTCACTGTCATTCTCATCAAGCCGGTGCTCGATGCTATCAGGGAACTCCAAAAGCAGATGGTCCTTAAGAGTCATTTGGAAGCAATCCAGCCACCTATCAGTCACCTGACATCATGTTTTCCTGACATTTCATTTTCCTTGCCTCTGTGGTTTGAAATTGAACACTGGACAAAGGAACAGCACTTTGCAACACCAACCATCATGGCTGCTGTTGCAAAGGCACCACACTAACAGCATAACACAGTAAATAAAAATCAAAAGTCAATGGCTTTTGAAAGTTATGGGGATATATATATACTTTCTCCCCTTTGAAAAATAAAGGTGCACCTGCAAACAGCTAATCAGTTATGATAAATTAAAGATCTCTGGACAGAAAGTACATAATTTTATCCATCCACTAGATGACAGTGTTTGTACACAAGGATAAATCCAAAACCAGCAGAGGTACGGTAATGTTACATGGACCAACTGAAACATTACAAAATAAATATATAAAAATATAAACAAGTAAACCTTTACTTCAGAATAATTATTATTCAGTCTAAATGTTGTTGTTTTAAGATAGATTTGTGGGGTGGGGTAAGAATCTGAATGAAAAGTCCAAACTGCAGACTTAATAGAAGAAGTAATGTTCACACTGAAGCTGGTCTAAACACCCAGTGGCAGAATAAAGTAAACACATTTTTTCAGTCCTCCCTGATGATTACAGTCATACCTCGGGTTGAAGTAGCTTCAGGTTAAGTATTTTCGGGTTGCGCTCCGTGGCGACCCAGAAGTAATGGAGCGCGTTACTTCCAGGTTTCACCGCATGCGCAGACGCTAAAAATGACGGCATGCACAGAAATGGCGAATCGTGACCCACGCAGACGCGCAGTCGCAGGTTACGCTCTACTCAGGATGCGAACGGGGCTCCAGAACGGATCCTGTTCGCATCCAGATGTACCACTGTACTCCCTGCAGCTAGAAAACTAGTACCACAGGGAAAGGGTTGAGTTAGAATCCTCCTTTCTCTCCAGATATGCTAATCTTCTATTTCCAAGTAATCTGAGTGGGTGGGAGGGAGCTATCATAAGCAGCATACCCCAATTGTAGTCTTAAGTAGTATCATTCCCACTATTTCCAGTGTTTGAGTTGTGAGCGCATTTGCTTATCCAAGCACAAATGGGAATTAGTAGCAGGCTTGGAGGGACCTCCAAGTTTGCAGAAGTACAGAAAACCTTAAAGAAAATCAAGTGAGTTGGATGAGAACTGAGTATGCTCGCAGGCCACAGAGCGCTGGCTGACTGTTGAGGGGCTGGAATGGAGTGTTCTGGGGGAGGATATGATGGCTGGCTGGCTGAAACAGTGAAGAAACCCAGGACCTCTCCCTGTTGCAACATTTGGTCGTAGGCAGGGCTGGCTCACCCATGAGGCAAGTTGAGTCAACTGCCTCAGGCAGCAGGATCCATAGGGGTGGCAGATTCCTTTTTAAATATGTGGACTGAATCAAATTCCTACCCAGTAGGTGTGCACTGCTGAACCGATCATCACACTCTTCATACACCAAGTGCACGAAAAAATATTTGTTCCTCTCTACTCATTTGTCCTGCCACTGCCTCCTTATAGCTTAGGTAAGGAGGATTGATTTTCAGTGCTGGTGTTCAGGCTGCAAATGTGTGCAAAAGTTACTTCAGCTCTTGTCATCATACTCTGAAGGGATCGTTCTTGTTGCAATGCATCCTTTTAAAACTGGAATGAAAAGTGACAGTTCTAGATTCAAATAGAAGCAAATTGCCCTCTGTTAAGGTTTAGAGCTTGATGCAGTTAGTTGTGGTTTTTTTAAAAAAACAAGTCTCATATGTGCATTTTGGGTTCTGAATTGGCAGCTATGAAGAAAATGTTATTCCACAGAACAGCGACTGCTCATGTAGCAGAGCAAAGTTAGCCTAGGCAAAGTGTCAATCAGTGCCTTTCTCCCTTGACCAGATTGTGAAGCCCACAGTGACCCTATTATCTGTCCAACATACATTGGGGTATGCAGTCTTATATGTTAACTCGCTTGCATTTTGGGCTGTCCTGGAGTGGCCACAGCTCAGTGGTAGAGAACATGCTTTGCATGCAGAAGGTCCCAAATTCGATTCCCCACAATGTTAGCTGGAGTTGGGAATGCCCTCCATCTGAAACCCTGGAAAGTTGCTGCCAGTCAGTGTTGACAACACTGAACATAGACTAATGATCTGACTTGTTATAAGATAACTTCCTGTGGTCCTGTGTCCCATCATGTATCTCAAAGAGCAAGTCATAGCCTGGGTAAAGCCTGTAGAGGTGTAGCCCAAGCATGGCTGACCTGTGGCCCTCCGGGCAATTTGGGACTCCAATTCCCATCAGCCCCAGCCAGCATGGCCCATAGCTAGAGATCTGCACGAAAGTGGTCCTTGGTTCAATCCCTGGCATCTCCAGGGAGGGCTGGGAATGTCCCCTGTCTAAAACCCTGGAGTGCCACTGCCAGTCAGTGTAGACATCACTGAGTTAGATGAATCAATGGTCTGACTCATCACAATACAAGGTACCTTCTTCTCTTCCTTGGGCGTGTGGGAGTGCTATCTGTATGTTGGCTTCTGTATGTAGAAAGGGGAGAGGGTACAGTCTTGCCCTTCGCCTTGGACATGAAAATGTCTTACCCAGACCTTGCCAAAATGGTGCTTAGGGCAACTTTTGAGCAGATTCTCTGAGTATGATTCATTCCTTTAAAAATGGGAAAGGCCAAAGACATAGCAAAGAAAAAGATCTGGCTGACTTTGGGATTAGTAGCGCACAGTGCACTGCTGGGGATATATGTCATGTTCCTTATTGTTTTCTGTTTGTAAACAACTTGCCCCAAGGTGCTAATTAGCTTCAAGTGTTACATACCGTGATGTGTGTTTGTTTCCATACACAGACCGTGGTGGTCAAGGTGAGTGAATCCGTTTAGTTCATTAACATTCCAGATTCTATAGTGGCTTGTCAATGCTGTTGAGGCGATCTTATTTTGCTGGCGGTTTTGTCTCAGATCAGGAGCTCTGCTCTTTCATCAGAGTTAAGATCCTTAATTCTTCACCATGGTGCTACTTACTGCTGATGTAGTAAATCAGACTAAATAACGGTGCATTACTTCAGCTTTTGGGGGAAGCACCCTCTCTTCTGTGTCTCTTCCGCATTCATTATCCCATATAAAATTTGCCTTGCATCTCTGTCAAACAGATGCACACCATGCTGCATTCTAAACTGGCTTCTTGTCTGCGCACAGATCCTGTGCAACGTACTTTAAATGCCCTTCAATTGCATGGCTCCCTCCCCATCTTTCCCCTCTTAAACCCCAACACTTCTCTGTCTGTGACCATCTCTTATCCTGCTCCACCAGCCTCAAACACCAGAAAGTGCCATGCTCCTTTCTCTCTGAAAGCCCCTTGCAGTAGGTTACATTCACACAATACATTTAAAACACTCTTTTACACTTTAGCTGCCCCCTCCAAGAATCCTGGCAGTTTGGTAAAGGAAACTGTGAATTATTAGGCAACCTCTCACACAGCTACAGTTCCCAGCACCCTTAGCAAACTACAGTTCCCGGGCTTCTCCATGGGCTGTTGAAGTGGCATATGAATGCTTTAGTAGGAGTGTCACCATTGTTGTTATAACCATCTTGTTCCCATATTGTGGAAAGGCAAGGTAAATGTGTTAGAATTGTGCATACTCCAGCACAAGGGTAGCCAACGTAGTGCACTCCACATGTTCCTGGACCTGGACTACAACTCCCATCAGCCCATAGTTAGCATGGCCAATGGCCTGGGCTTCTGGGAGTTGCATCATGTTGACTACCTCTGCTCCAAGAATTGTTTTTAATCCTGCATAAATGTAGCACCATCAATGAGCATTGTGCTTTACATCAAGGGACAGGCAGATTGCAGGACTGCAGGATCTACTTTGAGCAGTGAGCTCCACCAACCAGGCTTGATGCAAAACAGTAGCTGAGGGTATTAGAGGCATTAGTGCACCCCATGTGTCATGCTGTGGAATAACCTTATCCAAGTATTAATCTACATCTGTGTGGTGGCAGATCGGAGATCCTAATGCAGAACTAAAAACAAAACAAAAACAGCATCAAGGCCTGCTCAAAAGCAACCAATTTATACTCCCATTTCATAGGCTAGGAACACTGAGACTGTGTAATGATTAAACAAAGAAACCAACAAAGAAACTAACTTGCAATTTTATGAAACAGAAAGTTGTGCCAGCACCCTTAAGCATAAAGTTCCAGTTTAAGGGAAAGCAACAGTGACGCTCAAAGAATAGAGAGTTTGTCTATGAGTCAGACTAGTAAGATTGTATAGTAGTGTGTCTTAGTTGTTGCTCTTGTTAAACGACTTGGACTCAGGGGGAAACTGCTTGTGATCTACTGCAAATTGCCCAGAGATCTTCCAGTAGATTTTGATGTAGCTTCTGCCCTCCCCTACCAAAAAGAAAAATCCCTACCTGAAAGAACTAAGCTGATGCTATATGAGAGAATCTTCCCCTAGTTTGGCCTCTCCCATTAAAGTGGCTGTGATGAAGAGAACCAGGATATTGTCTCTGTGGATTTATCTGGCACAAATGAGTACCAATTACAGTGTTTACTCACCACTGGGGGTTTAAGCCATCATTTTGTCTAATTATGGTGTGAATGGCACACTGAAAAAAGCCATCCTTCTTTAAAGAACAAATCCCCCAGGAAATCCTTAAAACCTTGAATACCAATTATAAAACAGTTCCCAGCCTGCCCATCAGAGAAAATATGTGCCAACCCAGGATCACCTTTGTCCCCAGGTCTATGTGAGCATCACTTGAGCATAAACAAGGGTCCTCCAATGCACATTTCATTTCGCAGAAAATCTGCCCTGCAATAGAGTACAACCAACAGTTCAATGGTAATTTACATTTACCTGGTTAAGAAGCCTCCAGAATCTTCAGTGAAAAGGTTCAGGTAGCCTGTACCCCTGGAGAGCTCCTGTCAGGCAGAGTGGACATGCCTGTGCAACATTTCCTTATTATCCATTATTTATTTAGAGCATTTGCTTCCCACTCTTTGGCTGAAAGTGGCTTTAAAAAAGGTAAAGGACCCCTGACTGTTAAGTCCAGTCGCAAATGACTCTGGGATTGCGGCACTCATCTCACTTTACTGGCCGAGGGAGCTGACGTTTGTCCGCAGACAGTTTTTCCGGGTCATGTGGCCAGCATGACTAAGCTGCTTCTGGCGAACCACAGCAGTGCACGGAAACGCCTTTTACCTTCCCATGGGAGTGGTACCTATTTATCTACTTGCACTTTGATGTGCTTTCGAAGTGCTAGGTTGGCAGGAGCTGGGACCGAGCAACGGGAGCTCACCCCTTCGTGGGGATTCGAACTGCCAACCTGCCAGTCAGCAAGCCCAAGAGGCTCAGTGGTTTAGACCACAGCGCCACCCACATCCCTGCCAAAAGTGGCTTACATGCACTCAATTAAAGCAAGACAGCCCCTCCCCTGAAGGCTTTTTTATTTTATTTTTTCAAAAGACAAAGAAGGGAATAGAGGTAGGAAGGGAAGAGGGGTGGAATCAAACTCGGGAATGAATTCTTCAACAGCTGTTGAACACAGTTAACGGGCAGTGGTCCTTGATAGTGCTGGTGCCCCAGTAAAGATGACGGAACGAGCCTTCTGCGTCCAATCTCCGCCACCAGTGACGGACTGTTTCTTCATGGTGCCCAGGGCAATAAGACAGATTGGAAGGACACGTGCCTATTGTGTTCTCCTCACACCACCCTGCCAGTGTCCCCCAGAAAAATGTGTCTGGGTCCATCACCCCAGCAGCGCACCCCCCCCCAAGCTACACCCCTGTCTTCCACTGAGGCATTTCTCTCTGCTGGGGGACAAAGCTAACCTGCTGCCTTGGGTACAGCCTCTTCCTACCCAGGACTCACCTTTAAATCAAGCATGTATTTGAGGACCCATTTCTTTTTTCTTTTTAAACCAAGTGTTTGTATGGTAGTAGTGCTGTTCTTGCAACCCACCTTACTTCAGGTCACTCCCTAGTAGTGGCCCCAACCTACCAGTTGAAGACCAGTGCAGTAGATGTTGCCATCTTGTCTGTCCCTAGTGCTGAAGTAAGATTCAGCTTCCAGCTTGGTTGGTTTCTGTCTGTGAGCACAACCTTATACTTCCTCTCAGGCAGAAAAATAGTGTGTTGAACCAAAGTGAAATGATCCAGAAGGCCTGCAAACACCATCTTGGTAGTCAGCATAACCCCAAATTAATGAGTAGTTGTGGAAAGAATAAGGTCGTATATGTCTATGTCTCCTTGCTTTGATATATGCTAACTGGCTTGCTTTGATACTATGCTTTTCTGTGCTGTGTTGTGCTGTGTTGTACTATGCTTATCTTAGGATGCTGGGCTCTAGGCCTAGAGAGGGGAAATGTTTTGGATAGCTGCCACCTATGACCTCACAAACTAGGTGTGATGGGAGATTCTGGGCAAACTGAGGTATCCTTTTCTGTGCATAAAGGATTTATGAATGTTTGCTTGGGTGTAGACAAGTGATGATGACCTCTCATTATTACAGTGCATCCTGCATCTGTAAAGGCAGTGAGGCTCCTTTCTGCCTTACTCAGAAAATACACCTGACACCCTCTTACAATTCTCCACCCACCTACTCCCCCTCCTGCCCAGATTGGTTAAAACTTCCCTGCTGAACGAAATCCAAACCTTGCTGCCCATTTCTGATTGTTTGATTCCTTTTGTGGGGTAGTATTTAAATTATATTTTAAGCTGCCCTGAGTGATTCCAAATGCATTGGAAGGGCCAGGGCGAGGTGTGTGTATGAGTGTCTACATTTTGCAAATAAAGAATTGATAGAAATGAACAACAACAACAAACTGTCCCAAAGAAAATGTGAATGTTCTTTGGAACCACATGGTGGATTCCCAATGTAAGGAGATTCCCACCCTATCACCTCCTTGGAATATACATAAAAGACTGGACTGAATAATGGACCTTGCCCATATACAGATCAAGGGACAATATTGGTCCAGGTGCCTGGAGCACTTGGTTGACTTTTCATCCCAACGTGACGTTCCCCAGCGTGGTATTTCGAATGCTCACACTATGCAGTGACCAACCTCCCCTAATTCACTAAAGGACACAATACGTTAGACAGGAAAATATGGATATTTATAATGATAAATAGGATTGTAATTTCTGACAATGTTAAGTATTAATCCTGCATACAATATATAGTTTAATATACAGTCAGGTTTTTTAAAATTTACAGTGTGGGGGGAAATCTCACAGGTAATTCTCTGATGGTTACAGTATATGAAAAAGAACTCATTGTGCTGAACACCTGGATGCAAAGCAGATACTATGGCCTTGGCTTTCTTTCAGTGCTTTGGAGACCGAGCTTAGGTTGCACAGAGATAATTGCTTATCAGAAGGGTTGCATAAAGCTGGTGCTATGGATATAAATAGGAGCAGCTGTATTCTAGTAGTCCCCCACCCCATACACAATATTAGCCCAAACTCCCAAGGGAAAAGTAACACCCCATCAAGAATGAACCATGTGTGTGTATTAAAAATAGTGGTTGAGGGGAAATTAGCATTTAAAGGCAAACCTGCCTCATTCAAATTTTCCAGAACAATAAGCAAACCCAGTCATCTCTGAATTTTGCAATGCAGATCTCCAGACAAGTAATGTTGTACAAAACTGCGTATACTGCAGCAAAGTGTGCATGACAATGCAAATATTAGTAAAAAATAATATACACAAACATATTAATTTAGGGAAAACTGCTTTGAAAAAAAAAGTGTATTGGGCAAAATTGTATACAAATGTGTATATTGGGAGAAATTCCCACTAAAATGCTGGTAAATTTATTGTATTTAAAAAATACAGTAAATAAATCACAAACTAATATGGACATGTGGAGAACCAAACTTAGGACTGAAAAAAAATGAGAAACTGGGAGGAGAAACTGAAATGGACAGATTCACCCATCTTTTGTTTGAAAACAAAACAAAACACACCATCATTTCCAGAGCATTGGATGAAACATGGTCTTGTTATTGTCATAAGCAAGAGTGTGTGTATGACTGCTAATTTTAGCGTGGCTCAGGTTTGGGGAATTTGCACTTCATGGAGAGAGGGGAATTGGCAGATGAATGCTATATAGTAGAATACCCTCTGGGATTTTATTTCTAGGCTAGATTGCAAAATGGAGCTGAGATTAGTTCATGTCCCTGAAATGTTACACACCTAACACAGATGGCTTTGCAGATATCACCTTCTAATGAAAAAAACAACAAAGAGGACTGCGTTAGCTGATTAGTTAGTGTAATTCATAAGCACACTGCTATACAGATGGATTCTGTTGCTAGGTAAGCTTCAGGTGCTCACTCTGAAAGAACATTTAAAAGAGATATGCTTGTATGCAATAATACCTCTACTCACCTGCTAAGAATAACCTCCTGAGTGCTGCCCCCCAAGACCCATTATAGTTGAAAGACTTTTCTCCACCTTGTATATTCATTTATTTGGCAGTGTCAAATTTTCAGGGTAGGCATTGTTGGGTGCTTATCAGGTCCCATTTCCCAGAAGGGACCCCATTGCCCACTTTTAGAGTCCGCAGGCTCTCCTCCTTTCCTTTTTGCAGTCACTGCCCATTCACCTTGTTCAGCTTGCTTGCCAGCAAGAGGTGACTAGTCTTGCACTTTGATGTCGCATTGTGTTTTAATTTTTTGGAAGCTGCCTAGAGTGGTTGGGGTAACCCTGTCAGATGGGCGGCATATAAACAAATAAATTATTATTACTACTACTACTACTACTACTACTACTATTCCCTGTGTCTGTTTTTATGAACAAGGTCCACACAAAAGAACACATGGACAGGGAGTTGCAGCAGTAGCAAGGAGGAACGCCAGCTGTGGGGGCAGAAGGGGCTTCAGCTCCCTTAATATTTCTAGGCAGGAGGCTGAGCCTCCCCCCCCCCAAAAAAATAATAATTGAGGGGGCCGCCATCCCCTGCTGCCCCCAAGCGAGCGCTCACACCCAGCCTCAGCTGTGCTCCTGAGCCAGGTCTGACCTGGGCGGCAGAGAGAAGCAGGAGCATTGTAGCTGTTTATTGTTTCCAGTATCAGAGGTGGCATGCCAAGAGGGTGGGGTGGGGTGGGGTGTGGTGGGGATCACAAGTGGGGAGAGTGCTGTTGTGCTCATGTCCTGCTCATGGGCTTCCCATTGGCCGGCTACTATGAGAATTGGGTGCTGGATTAGATGGGTCCTTGGTTTTATCCAGCAGGGCTGTCCTTTCAGAGGAAACCACAAGGCACCAATTGGTACCACAGTCACATCGAAAGCCAAGAGGCCTCAAAGATTTGGGGAAGGAACCTGAAATAGAGGGAATAGTATCCAGATGGATTAAAGAAAGGGTGTATTTTAGCATTATTATTTTTCAGTTGGAGCCAGTGCAGGTTGCCCAACTCATTGATAGATTGGCAAATTAGTATCCAAAAGTGTGAATGTTATTTTTGCCAATCCGGAGATCCTAGTGCATAGGACACATACACAGCAGTTCCTGTTAATTTTAGTGGAACAAACTAATCTAGCCAATGGGGATTGGCTCCTGCAGTTTAAGTGAACCAGGAACTCATTCTTTAGAATTGTTCTGGTCTTGGAACAGAATGCTGTACTGGAATGTGTATATTGCAGGAAAGCTAGATTTTGCAAATTACTTGAGAGAGAAAGATTTAGGACTTCCTTGCTTTCCTGTGGTGAGCCATGCAGAATTACCAAGCCACTGTTCATGTTAGCAGAGACAGAATCTCTTTGGGTGCAAAGATGACCTTCAAGAATACATCACTCACACTGTATTATGCACTGGTTCTGGTTATAACCAAGAAAAGCTATGAAGCTATATAGTATTTAATCTTGTGGTTAATGCTTATATTGCTTCTCATGCTCTACTGAAAAATTCTCCTGCATTTCTCCCAAGAAATTGCATTAAAAAGAATCTGTGGGGAGATTTGTTATGTTTTTGTTGCACTTACCTTCAAGGTGGCCTAGAGTTGTTTGTGAGTGTGCTTTATATCACTCTACAAATCATCTCCCCAGTAGTCTGTGCTCTGCAGCCTTCCTGGGTGCCCTTCCTGACAACGCCATGACATCATCAGCTGGGCTTTTCTTAAGGTGTGGGAAGGTGAGGAGGTTGCCCACTGTGCACCTGACAACTGGTTTTTTTAAAGTGAAGTCTTTGTACTTTTAAAGAAATCAGTGTGGAAAGGTTAAAAAGGAAATATATCTCTTAGAAATAAAATCTGTAAGCACAGCAGTCTCGGGTACTCAGTAATAGTTTTCCTAGGTTTCCCATGCTTCAATTAAAACCCAGAAATAAGTCATGAAGTACCGTATTTTTTGCTCTATAAGACTCACTTTTTCCCTCCTAAAAAGTAAGGGGAAATGTGTGTGCTTCTTATGGAGCAAATGCAGGCTGTGCAGCTATCCCAGAAGCCAGAACAGCAAAGGGGATTGCTACTTTCATTGCTCAGGGATCCCTCTTGCTATTTTGGCTTCTGAAATTCAAAATATTTTTTTTCTTGTTTTCCTCCTCCAAAAACTAGGTGTGTCTTGTGGTCTGGTGCATCTTATAGAGCGAAAAATACGGTAGTTTCTCCCATGGGGCTCTTTCAGAAGCACAGGCAGCTAGGGAGGCTGCAGAAGCACCGAGAAGTGTTTATTGGAATGAAAAGCTCCCATACCACCCAAGGGTGTCTCAATTCTACAGCTACCAGAATTCTGAAGAAGTGTTCAAGTGTCCTGAGAATGAGGCAGATAAACCTGCAACCTCTTTCACAGAGGGAGAAATAGGCAAACAGGTTTTGATACAGTGCTAGTTCCTTCTATTGCTTTTATTCATCGTTAAGTCCAGGAGTCCTCTATTTTCTCCTGCAAAAAAACCAGTCACCTGGGCTGTTTTGGAGAGCTCTTATCAGTCCAGAACGATGAGTACAGGGCCAGATTATACCAGCTCATTATAAAGCAGCTCCATATGTCTATATGTAGGTTGTTTGAAACCAAACATCACAGCACATGCTGCTTACAGCTCTTAGTGTCAAGCTAAGCTTGCTGGATACTTGTCTTGCCATTTCCAAGGCAAACTGAATTCTATGTAGAATCACTGAGTTGGAAAGGACCTCAAAGGCCATCCAGGCCAACCCTCTGCCAGTGCATCCCTCAAGGCTGTCCAGAACTTCCACTCCACACGCTCCACCATATGAAATTGGTTTCTCATCACAGACAATCTTTTTTTGCAACCAGTTGCTTCCCAGCCTCCAGCCCACTAAGTACTGGGGATCCTGCCATGCATTTCAACATCTGTAAACTGCTGGATGTTCTCGGTGCTCTCTGGAGATGTGGTAATAGGGGAGATGACGTGTTTCAGACGCAGGAGCATGGTGAAAAGTAGAATGAGTAGGATGGCCAGTAGGGTCAGAAACAACCCTACATACATATACAAGTTGGAGTATTTATCTGCATTTGCCACTCCTGTAGCCAGGGTTGGGGGTGGGTGGGCACGACCAGTAAGATTTCCACGGAATCTGAAATAGACCTCAGTCATTTCTTACTCAGGCCTTTTCCATTTTCTCTGTTCACTCATGAATTCCTTACTTCTTCTTTGATAGTGTTTTAAAGATTAGATTAGGAGGTAATTCATGCATCAATATTGGATGGGCTGAAGTCTTTGCCTTGTATAGAGGAATAGTTCTCATCAGAGGGTCATCTTCTCACATGGCTTTGCCTAAGGAAATGGCAGAATCAATCAAAGGTTCCTTCTGGGTGGTGGTTTTTTTCTACTTTTAAAAAAACCTTCCTGGCTGAAAAATATTTGTGTTCTCTTCAGTAAGGAATAAACGTCTCAATGGAGTTTGGGGGGTAAGGATCTCCTACCAACAGTGTCACCCAATGGCTCACAGATCCATGAGTTACCTTGCAAAAGTCTGCTTTGGTTACTTTTGGAAGCAGACTCCTGTCTTCACTAGAAGGCAAACATCAGTGACTATATTCAGAAGAACTAGAGTCTGGTGTTTTTCCACTTCCCACCTTCAGATGACCAAAATGACAGCAGTACCAGTAGCCAACATGATATTTCTATAAAGATATAAAAAGACAGAGAAAGAGACTATATTATTAAGCAAACTTTCACATAATCTTTTTGATTGTAGAGAATCTCTTGGTAATAAAAGGAAAGTTACTGCGCTGCCAAAATCTGTACTCGCAGTTTCTCATAAGTTCTCTTCCTCTGCAAATAAGGCTTCAATTTATCTGCTTCATTCTCACAGTAATTTTTAAATTCCTTTAGAACTTCCTTCAGCCTTGGGTTTTGAGCTTTCCTTATCACTGCAATGTGGCCAAAGGCTAAATATTTGTCCAGTTCTCTGCAGGTTCCCATGCTGTCCACAGTTCCTGATCTGAGAAAAATGTCTAGGAGGAGTTTTCTCAGGGTTTTTTTCCCATGAGCTTTGACTGAAGCATGAGCACCCTAGGAAAGCCTGTTTAGTGCAGACAAAAGGAGGGATGATTTGCAGAATGAAAGGGTTGCATCCAACCAAGTTCTCAGAGTAGGCCTGCTGAATTTAATGTCCTTAATTTAGCAGTTTCCATTAACTTCAATGGTCTACTCAACCCAAATTAATGGCACTTGCATGCACCTCTCAGCCACCTCAGCAATAACAGAAGCACACCCAAAACCCTATACCCAGTCCATTAAAATTTTACTGATTCCCACCCCCACCCTGTTGGATGCAATTTCTTCTCCCATTAATTGGTGGAAGATCAGGGGCAAGGTTTATTGTTCACTTTTTCTTTTAAAGGTAAAGGGACCCCTGACCATTAGGTCCAGTCGTGGCTGACTCTGGGGTTGCGGCGCTCATCTCGTTTTATCGGCCGAGGGAGCTGGCGTTCTGGGTCATGTGGCCAGCATGACAAAGCCTCTTCTGGCGAACCAGAGCAGCGCACGGAAACGCTGTTTACCTTCCCGCCGGAGCGGTACCTATTTATCTACTTGCACTTTGACATGCTTTCGAACTGCTAGGTTGGCAGGAGCAGGGACCGAGCAACGGGAGCTCACCCTGTCGCAGGGATTCGAACCACCGACCTTCTGATCGGCAAGTCCTAGGCTCTGTGGTTTAACCCACAGCGCCACCTGCATCCCTCTTTTTCTTTTGCACTGCACTAATTAAAAGATATAGGTTGGCTGGCCAGATTCCAGTTCACACTTGAAAATGAGCACATGTAGGAGGGATGGGATCACACCCATTGTCCTTGCTCTTGCACTCTTATGTGTATTCATCACACATATAAACTGTTCTGTGTGTAGGCTCCATACAAATGGTCTATTCCCCCTGTCATACCGACGGAACCCATGGATGTACAATCTGTACATGTATAAGCTTTCCCAGATGTTTTTATGAATGTCTGTCGGAAGCAGGAGCAAAGATGTGCTACCGAGGAGTTCAGCCTTGCCATCGTTTTAAAAATGCTCTTGAAGGTTAAGCCCAGACTTGGGACACAAAGAACAAAGTTATAGTTTGAACTTGTGACCCTCCTTAGCGCATAAACCAGGAGTAAGTCTTGGCAGTAATACATGAGAACTCCTGTACGTAATAGTACTTTGATTATTTGCCTGGTCTAAGTCATCCAAAGCACAATCTTAATTACCTAATCTAGCCCTGCCAGAGAAAACTCCATTTGCCTTATTTAACACACTGTTAAACACATTCTATACGCACGGAGTCAGCCATCAGCATCCTTAAGCATTCTTCAAGGTGTGGCTCCTACAGCTCAGGTAGAGAGTACTATGCTGTGTCTACTCTCTGAGATCTAGCAGTGTACTAGATATCTAAGGACTTGCATAGATAATTGAATTACTGTCTAGCACATGCACGTTAAAATGGCATAAATAAGTGTACCCATTTAAATATGGTGATCAGACATCACACAGAAGTTAAGTAGAGATAGCAAACGGGCTCTGCAACAAAAGTTTGTAGTATTGCTCCCTAACAGGAGCGTGCTTGAGTCCTTTTCAGAGTTGCAGCCAGCCATGCCTTTCTCCATCATACCCCAACTGTGATGGGCTCAAGCCAGCTCATTCACATTCCTCTACACCTTAGCTGCCACTGAAAATGGTTAGTTGACATTAGGTGGTTGTTGTTGTTGTTTTTTCAGTACTTCTGCAAACTTCAAGGTTCCCTTGAGCATCCTGGTGTCTCCCTCTTGTTTCTCCTTACTAGCAAAGGGGTACCGAGTTTACTATTGGAGGAAGCAATTGGATCCTATTGAATATCATGACATGGGTTGCAATATGGAGAGGTTAAATGTGATTGCAAGGTTCAGGTGTTTTTGTACATTATAAGCACATATATCAATAGAGTAAGTAAGGTAAATACATTGGTAAGCATAGGTAAGAGCCAGTGTGATGTACTGGTTAAAGGGTTAAACTAGGGCCAGGGTTCAAATTTCCACTTAGCCATGAAACTCACTGGGTGATCTTGGGCCAGCCACTGCCTCTCAGACTCACCTACCTCACAGGGTTGGTGTGGGAATTAAATGGGGGGGGGAGAGAACCACCTTGAGCTCTTTGGAGAAAAAGGTGGCATATAAATGCAATTAATAAAAAAAAGAAATTAGAGGAACTAAGATGAGAGGGAGGGGATGAGTTTGGAATGCTGATAGTGAGCAGTGATTGGTTGGGAGTTTTGAAAGGGAGTTTGAATACTAGTCTGAGAGGGTTTGGAGTCGAGTTGAGAGTTGAGTTGACAACGGAGTTGCATTTGGGGGTGGGTGGTAGACTGTGTGAGAGTTGGTGGCGGATGTGAAGCAGGGTTAGTCATCTAATATAGTATCAGTATTATAGTAGCTACTGTTGTATATAAAATAAAGCAACAAATAAGATAAACAGATTGAAACTATGTGCTTAGGTACAATCCTCAATCGCACAGCCATTGTTTATGATTCCTCTTCCATAAATTAATTGCTTTATACCACATGCCTCATACTTTGCTAACATTAGGGGAATTATTATTATTATTATTATTATACCCCACCCACTTATTCAGATAAATATAATTTGGGGTGGAAGCAGGTTATAGAGTTACCCATAAGAAACACAGCTCAGAGCCATACGTCTTGTTAAGAGCGAGAAGTGGTACAGGGTAGTTTTGGGTGGTGGCAGAGCACCCCCTGGCAGAGGAGGGTGTGTGGCATGACAGTGGTGACAGCCACCTCTCTTGTCTTCTGCAGCTCTTTCTGCTGTAAAAGGCAGAGTTCACATCAAATCCTAACAGACCATTTTTGGTAATGAAATAATATGCGTCACAGATGTTACTTCTGAAAATTAGGTGGCATTATGCTAAAGTTATTAACCTGAAGTTCATGTGTAATAATCAATTACGAAACAAGAGCCCCAAATTAATGAGCCTCTACAAGGCACTTCTAATAAATGGAAGAGATTAAGGAGTGGAGATAATTCAATGAGGCTGGGAGTTTAGCATGGATGCCTGTGGTTCGTTTTATGCTCCAGTCTTAAGAGTAGTTGCTCAGTTCCTTGCAAGGGAAGAATCTGATTTGCTCACAAAACTATGTGTGTGCATGGACTTCCTGCCTTGTCTTCTGTGTCAGGGAATGCTCTGTGATGAGGGCAAGAGGGAATCTTCATGCAGAACACCTCCTGACTTGTAGAAGATTATAAGGAATGCCACAGGGGAGGCTTTGCACATACGGATCAAATAAATTATGGGGGAGTCAAATCGATTTGAATGAATAGACCCAGCTGAAAAGTCTGTGCATGCTTCCTTGCACAAGGGCTTCCTTGTTTTCTTTTGCCGAAGAGCCCATTTCTTTGCGTACAATAGAGTTTCTTTTTGTGAACAGTAAAGTTCTTGTAGGGAGCATGGTAGGGCTACAGATAAACCCACGCTGCAAATGTTCTTTTCTGCAGAGGAATCAACTAGATCAGAAGGGCCAGGGACAGAATTCATAAGGGTGCTGGATCCATCTGTTAAGAGTTTGGGTGTAATCCTTGACGCTTCCCTTTCCATGGAGGCACAGGTTACAGCAAGAGCTAAGGCGACATGTTTCCATCTTTGCCGCATCAAGCAGTTGGTCCCTTAGCTTTCCCGCCCCGACCTGGCCACAGTGATCCATGCGACGGTCACCTCCAGGCTTGCCTACTGTAATTCGCTCTACGTGGGGCTGCCCTTGAAACTGTCCCAGAAACTCCAGCGGGTGCAGAATGCTGCAGCGAGGCTCCTCACAGGGTCTCTGCCATGGGAGCATATTCACCCAGTGCTTTTCCAGCTGCACTGGCTCCCGGTGGAGTATAGGGTCAGGTTCAAGGTGCTGGTCTTGACCTTTAAAGCCCTTTGTGGCTTAGGGCCCTCATATTTACGGGGCCACCTCTCCTGGTATGCCCCGCAGAGGACCTTAAGGTCCATGAATAACCATAATTTAGAGGTCCTGGGCCCTAAGGAAGTCAGACTATCCTCCACCAGGGCCAGGGCCTTTTCAGTGATGGCTCCGACCTGGTGGAATGCTCTGTCCCATGAGACTAGGGCCCTTCAGGATTTAACCTCCTTCCGTCGGGCCTGTAAGACAGAGCTATTCCGCCCAGCCTTTAATTTGAACTCAGCCTGATCTTTTATTTCCCTTCTCTTCCCTCCCGCTCCCCTTTTATGAAGATTACCCGCTCTGAGACCCCACAGCTAATTCTCCCCTGGCCTCCTCACTGGCCCAAGTAGGACCAATTCAGCCAGCTAGCCCTGGGGATGATCTAATGCTTATTTCCCCTAAACTGATTTCTAAATTTTTAATTTTATTGTTATTCATGTTTTTATACTGTATTTTATACTGCTTTTACAATTAAGTGTTTTAAATTTGTTGTTAGGGGCCCTGAGCCCAGTTTTTGAACCGGGAAGGGTGGGGTATAAATAAAAAAATTATTATTATTATTATCCAGACCCTGTCACCAATCCTGAGCCAGAGGCAGAGTCTGTTAACCAGAAGTGCCTTGACCCACAGACACTCGCCTTGGAACCCCCCTGAGCCAGATCTCCCAAGGACAGTATAGCCAAATGTCCTACTTTGCATGAGGAGTGAGGAGTCCAAGTGTTGTTGGACTCCAAGTCCCATCATGCTTGACCATTGGTCATTCTGGGGCTGATGGGAGTATTTATTTATTTATTTATTTACTTATTGTTTCCGTTTATAGACCATTTGCTACCAGAAGATCTTGAAGTAGTTTATGGTGAATAAAACACACACACATTCTAGCAGTCCCAGTGTTGAACTCGGAAGAGATCCAGGTTCAGATCCTCACTCAGTTATGAATCTCACTGGGTAACCTTGGGCCAGCGACCTTCTCTCAGTTTAATTAACCTCATGGGCTTGTGAGGATAAAAGAGGAAGAACCATGAATACTACTACAACATGACACCTTTATCCCATATTCGAAGATTTGTAGATCTTTCCGCAAAAGTACTCCTCAGTTAAGCAACTCACTGGATGCCTAACTCTATAGTGAGAATGCAGAACCTGCAACCCTCCAGCTGTTGCTAGATTCCAACTCCCATCATCCCCAAATGTTGGCCACACTGGCTGGGGCTGAAGGGAGTTGGAGGCTTCCTTCAACATCTTCTGGAGGGTGGCAGGTTGTCCACAACTCTAAAAAGCTTTAAAAGATCACAATTTCCTGTGCTCCTGAGCTAATTGCCCCTAAGTGCCCCTACATACAAATGAAGAGGGGAGATATGATTCCTGCATTGCAGGGTGCTGTACTAGATAACCCTTGGAGTCCCTTCCAACTCTACAATTCAATTTATTTATCCACAGCTCTAGAGATTGAATAACAAGACTCTTCTTGTTAGCTAAGCAACTGCAGTAAACATCTTTCTTGCGGTTACAAACAAGTCAGCCTATCCTGTCTTATTTTCACCAAGCACAAACAAATTAACCATCTTTTTAAAAGGATCACTTTTAGCATTTTAGGTTATCTCAGATTGGGATGATTTTTAGAGTGGACAGCATAGTATTATTGTGAATATTTGTGGGGCTAGAAATTAAGTCGGTACTGCTTGCAGAAAAAGTTAGTCAAAACACTCTGCTGCTGTAGCATTTAGTGCGTTTTTGAAGGCCGCCTGTTCCCAAAACAAGCTGTCTGGGCTTAATCTGACTAGTGAAATCAATACTTTTGCTTAGCTCATTTGTAGCACACATAATCTCTTTACTTCCCCCTGAAAAAGCACAGACACCAAGAAAATTGATACCTTAATGCATGCTTTTTAAAAGAAAAAGAAAAGGCACCATCAATTGGAAGTACTAGCTTTCCTTTTTTGGTGGCAGATAGTCTATTTTCTCCTTTCATATCAAATGCATAAAATAGCACATTCTTCTAACTAAGCCTTGGCACAGAGATAAAAACAGTTGGATTTTGACAAGTGCAGCCAATTACCTTTCATCGTAAGCAGGAGCAGAGGAGTGACCCCTCAAGACACCTCCTTGGTAGGTGTACCCTAGACTGCTTTCTGCAAGGTGTCCTGGAAGCATCCCCTCTAAGATGCAGGTGCTTTGGAAGAAAAAGAGACCAGCTGTTGTTTTGTCGCTTGAGCTGGAAGACTAGGCTTTCCAAGGAGAAAGTACACTTTCCTCTCGTCTCTTTTACACGCCAGGGTTTTGCATTGCGACAGGCAGAGGGGCGCTGCTTAATTCCTTAGACACTAGTTGATGGTCCTGCTCTCACTGTGCTGCTGATGGTTTTCCTGCACGGATGAGACAGATCCATATATCTTCTGGATGGCTGAACCACAGCAGCCTCCGTCAACCGTCTCTCTCGCTCTCGCTCTCCTCCTTTTGCTTCTATAGGCAACAGACACAGTAAGCTGGGAAAGGTATCTCTCCAAGCGCAGCTATGCTTCATCAGTAGGGAGAGAGAGAGGTGGAAAAAAAAGAAAGCTGCCAACAACACCAGTAGCAAAGTTTCTATAAGCCTTTTTTAATTCCTTCCATGCTGCAGGCTGGTCCTTTTCCCTCTAGGCAACCAGCCACAAAGCAGAGGCTTAGATTTGAAGGCAATGATCACTCCCTCATTATGATTTCTTTTATAAAAACAAAACAAAAAAGAGGTTTTAAAAAAACATTTTGTAGGATTGAAAGCATTCTTTTTAAATATATAGTCAAACAAGGCATGCAAATCAAGATGTTTTTCAGGGTTCCACCCCCACCCCCCAGGGCTTTGAAAACCTTCAAAATAAAGTAAGTGCAATACATCACAGCCAATGATATTCGTGCCATATAACTTGCAAGTTTCCTCCCCTTCTGTTTGTATGCAGACACATTTGACAGAATGAAATCCTGGTTGCTTTCAGGTGTAGAGCCATTTTCAGCTTCGGGGTTCCCAGTTCGCTGCTATAGCATGCAACTGGGTCAATAGGAAACACCCTGGGGAAACATTAACAGACCAAAAATGCCCACTACATGTAGACACCTAACTGGACACAACCCATTGGCCTGGTTTTGGGGAGGGGAGTTCAGAAAAGACTGGCCCAAGGTATTTTGCTGCATGAGAGAAGGGGAAACAAGTAGGGCATGGTGGCTCTGGGAGTTGGCAACGGACCCTGGCAGGACCCTCTGCAGGAGCCCAATGATGCTGACCATCAATTGGAGGATGCAGGAGACAGACAAGGAGAGGAAGGGAGGAATTATCCTTGAATGTTCTGAAATGACATTACATATACATGCAGATGGGTTACTATGGGAAATGAAAAATCCAAGGATTGCATTTGATAAAAGGCCATAGCTCAGAGGCCAGAGCATCTGCTCTGCATGCAGAAAGACCCTGCTGTCATTCACTATGGACAATACAGGGCTAGGCAGACCAAGAGTCTGACTCCATTTGTTCCTATGAAATACAACATGGTATCCCCTCCCATTCTATGTGCAAAATCGAACCAGACTGGCACTAGAATCTTATTTCAACACTGGCAAAATGTGATAATGATATCCTACATCACAACTGAGCGCAGCAGGCTAGCGGTAGCTTAGGGGACTCAGGAAGAATGGTTAGGGGCTGCTGCCACTTCTAGCATCTATTGCCTGAGGTAGGTGCCTCATCTTGCCTAAGAGTAGGACCAGACCTGCTTTCAGAAGTAAGTGACTGGTACAGGCTCAGCCCAAACGTCCTGCAGAGAGCAGGCACACCAAAGCACTGTGTGATGTCCTACGTAAGAGACTCGTTGCTCCCAGTTTTATTGGGAACTAGTTGAGATTTGGGTGGTATCATGATGCCTGAGGTATTCTTGTTAACATGCAAAAGAAAAGAAAAAAGAGGTTATCTCACAGAAATCAGAAAGTAAAAATGATGCACTTGAGGTAACAAAGGAAGAAAATGCATTCTGTACACATAATGTGACACATAATGACCATTTTACATTAAAAACAGACCAATCCAGGAGTTCTTGTTCACAGTAGGCAATATGTTTCCCACAGTAAAAACATAGCAGCTCATTGGAAGCTAGTCATATCCCCTGATTCAAAATCTCTCTTCATCATCAGCCCAATTGTCAGCAATCCATATTTCATATGGTAGGTGCTTCTACAAGTATTTATCATATATTTATTACATTTACATCTCACCATTTATCCAGGGAGCTCAAGGTGGCATGCATGGTACTTCCTCCCCCACATCTTACCCTCACAACAACCCTGTGAGGTAGGTTAGGCTGAGAGAGAGCCCCAAGTTAGCTGGTGAGTTTCATGGCTGAGTGGGGATTTGAATGATGGTCTCCTATGTCCTAGTTCAACACCCTAAGTACCCCAACACTGGTTCTCATTCAGTGTGGTAGCCATCCTGTAGCTTCCCAGTGTTGGCAAAAATAAACCACTCCTCAGAATTTATTCATTTTTTAAAACTACGACATTTTTCAGAAGATTGACTGTCATCAACAGGCAACCTTTGGAAATGATTTTCGTTCACTCACAGATTCAGTTCAGTGGTTGGATGGCTTTTTAGAGCTCACAGATTCCTCAAGGAACAAAGCGTGCCAGCTGATATGTTTGGTCTTTTGGGTGTCCATCTGTCATATTCTCTCTCTCTGAATATAATCAGCCTTTCCTGATGAATTTTTGTTGCCATTGCTGACAGACCTGTATGGTGATTCAGGAGCAGGAATACTTCAGCACCCACTTACAGCCAGTAAGTTGGTTGAAGGATAAGTACCATTCTTCTTTCCTTAATTCAGCTGCAAACCCACAGTTTCTACCCACAATGATAGATTTGTGAGTTCCAGAAGCCTTCAGTTGTGTTTTCCTGGACATAGAAGTAGAAACAGGGTAGCCACCTGTCCTAACATATGGAGGACAGTCCTTTATTTCCACAAAGTGGTTTAAAGGAGTAACTGTAAGCCACACCAGGAGACACTGTAAGACTCACCGGGAGGTGATCTGACCATGACACAGGGACTGGTTTAAAGTCCCCCACCTTCAGACCACCTTCTGCCTGCCTGCTTGAGAAAATGAAATCCAGAGTGTGCTAAGTTACATATACTGCTCTGATGAAATATTGGGATGTTCCCATGATTATCCTGAGCTACTCCAAACAATATGGCATTGGTGTGAATGTTGACATCTCCCAAGACAAACAGTCCTCCTTAGTAAATTATTTTATTGAGTTTTGGAAAACAAAATGAACATAGAACAATGTAGACAAAGTACATTAAAGCAATGTCTATAACCTCACTTGAGGTGGTACTACAAAAGTTCATATTGCAGAATATCAGAGGAAGCATGCAGTGAGTCAGAATATAAGAGAATTTAGAGTGTGTGTCCAATATAATGGGAGCCAGTGTGGTGTAGTGGTTAAGAGCGGTGGGCTCGTAATATGGTGAACCGGGTTCGCGTCCCCCCTCCTCCACATGCAGTTGCTGGATGACCTTGGGCCAGTCACACTTCTCTGAAGTCTCTTAGCCTCACTCACCTCACAGAGTGTTTGTTGTGGGGGAGGAAGGGAAAGGAGGTTGTGAGCCACTTTGAGACTCCTTAGGGTATTGATAAAGCGGGATATCAAATCCAAACTCTTCTTCTTCTTATAAGCAAAAGTTCTTAGGCAGAATTTTGGCTATTTAGATATACCCTCCACAGTCTAACCTGACACATTGAAGGTTGTAGTAAATGTCCGTCCTTATTTTATTTAATTATTTCATTTCATAAAATTTATACACTGCTTGATTTTAAACAAATAAACTCAAAGCAGTTTACAGAAAGTGATTCTTATCCTTGTTATAAGAAATAAAAGGCCGGAATATTGCATCAAATTTCTCTTTTTTTAGTTATTCCTCAAACCACTTGATTCTGGTAAGCTACTCTTTCGGACAATGCCATATTTTGTCCAGACAGCCTCTTATAGAAAGTCCAGCCAAATTCCAGTGACTGGCTATCTCCAATTGTGATGCTGCCAGCAGAAGAACCACCAGATCAGGTTGGCTTAGCTGAGGGTCATCAGGAGATCAAATAATTAAAAGCTCTAGTGCTGGATCTGTTAGGATAATACTGCCTGTGATATCTGTTTTTTTGTGCAAATACTGCCACCCAGAAGTAACACTAACAGTCTTGATGTCTTTAGCACCATGCCTGAGATCACCTCCATCACTTGTACAAGAAGGCTGTTGAGCATGAGGAGCACTAACTGATCCCATGGCAATAAATAGGCATCTGAAAGTATCCCCAAAGACTGCACTGTCACAGTTGTAACCTTATTGGGTTCTACAAAAAAGAAACCCAGGCATCGCTCATTTATCTGGCAGAGTGCTGACGAGATTGCAGAATATTGCAACCAGATACATATACTCACACTGTTTGTTGCAAATTGTTTTTTATGCTTTGTTAATGTATTTCCCCACCTTCTGAGCAGGGCTCAGGCACTGCACTCTGCGCCTTCAAATACAGCAGTCAGCATAGCTGCAATTCACTGAGGTATCTGTGCAGGTATCTGTCTTTGGCCTCTCTTGCTCTACTCTTTCAATGGTTTTGTTTTACAATCTCACACAAAAGCAGAGCCTCAAATGTTTGTTTGGGAGGCTTCTTTTGCTGCTGAGAATCTTACTCTCAAGTGAGAATCACAAGGCTGTGAAGCACTTACATCTTCAGAGCTGTAAAATACGTCAGGTCAAGTGCTGTGTTGTAAACAAGAAGAGACGTCATTTGGCAGAGCTGAGGCTGGGAGAGACACAACACGGCTGATTATCTTTGCCCAGCTTGCAACCTCAGTCTCTCCTTGTGCCGATGACCACCACCCCCAGATGCCCCCAAAGAGAGCTGGCGCATATTCCTCACGTCACCAAGGAAGATTCTTAACAGCATAAGCTAAACCTGGCATACACAGGGGTAAGGAACCTGTGTTCCTCAATGCATTGTTGGACTCCAGCTCTTATAAGCCCTCACCAGCAGGACCAATGGGAGTCCAACAAAATCTGGAGGGATACTGGTCTCTGAGTCCTGGTATAGACAGTAGCCATAGAGCTGTCAGCTGTCCCTCCAAGTGTCCCTATTTTCCAGGCACAGTCCCAGATTTACAGAAGCCATCCCAGTTTCTGATTAGATCCCGGAATGTCCCACTTTTCCTTAGGAAACCCCTATTTTGATTGGAGAAATGTTGGAGTGTATGGAGTTATACGACCCCTGAGCCAAGGAGATAAGTAACTATATTATACAACCTTTAGAAGACATCTGAAGGCAGCCCTGTATAGGAAAGTTTTTTAATGTTCAATGTTTTTATATATGTTGGAAGCCACCCAGAGTGGCTGGGGCAACCCAGTTAGATGAACGGTGTATAATGATGATGAGAGAACAGGACATCCCTATTTTCATCAAAGAAATGTTGGAGGGTACATAATCAATCCCACTTCCAAGGGAACACCGGGAATTGCAGCTCTGTTAGGGGAACAGGCCCCCACTAAGAACTCTCAGTGCCCTTAGCAACTTGGGTACAGGAAACCTTAAGGACTGCCTGGTTCCTAATACCCCTGCCTGATCACTGAGATCTTCTGGAAAGTCACTCTTAGCAATTCCTCATGCCTTGGAAACTCAGCTAAAGGAGCTATATGTTGTGCATTGTGGACCCATTTTTGTGGAACTCCCTCCCAGATGAGATGAGACATGCCCCCTTCCTGTTAAAGCTCTGGTGTTTGATGAAAACTTGTCTATTTTGGCATGTGTTTTAGGTAATCTTTTCTTACTGCATTCCTTTTCTAACATCGTTGTATGCTGCTTAGAAACTACAGAATATAAATTTTTGATATAAGTAAGTAAGTAAGTAAGTAAGTAAGTAAGTAAACAGACACCAACGAGATCTGTGGGCATTTTGCATTTTTGAAACTCAGCCTTTCAGCATATGGCAGTGTCACTGGAGTGTCACACGGACGTTAAAGCAGGGCAAATTAATTAACAGGAATTTATGGAGTGCTCTTTCTTCCCCAGTTTGTATATTCTTTCATCTCCTGGTTGTTATTATTAGATGTAAATGAATCCCACAAGCCTTAGCAAAGAACAACCAGAATCTTCAGGTTTGGACTAGTTTCAGACCAACTGGGTTTCCTGTGACCTCCAGTATGACCCATATATCAACCCAGACTTGATGGAAAACTAAGCCAGAAGCATTTCAGACACAGACTGCCCTTTGACTATCCAATTGTCCAGGAGTCATGGGTTGAGTCAACTCTGAATGAAGCTTACAGTAATCTTCCCTGTCCTGCAGTTGAGTCATTTCTGGCTAACAGCATATGATTTAATTCTGAATATGCCTTTATATCCAAACCCCATAAAAAACATGACATTAAAACACAGACTAGTGTGTGCCAGAGTATTGTATCTGGATGACTTAGATCTATACTTCTCTATCTGTTTATTCTATGTATGATACTTTTCCTTTAAAGGCTTTGAAAGAATTTTATCCTGTTCTACCAGATTTCATTAAGTACTAGCAGCCTCATACCCAGTATTGCTCAGGAATTCTGTGAAAAAGAAAAATCAATGAAGTTGTGAAATCAGTGGTTAAAATCAGTATACCTTTGAAAGGTTCAGTCCACCATTTTGATTCAAAATGGCATCCAACTGTTTTCTGAAAATAATAAAAGTCTCAGGAGCCGTCTTGAAAAAGTTGGTTATGACATCTCAATATATGTCTAAGTGCATAACAGGCAGAGAACTTTCCAAAATACCTAACAGATATTTATTACTTTCCCTCCTACTTCCAAAGAGCTGGATCATCCTCGCAACAGCCCTGTGAGGTAGTTTAGGCTGAGAGATACTGACTGTG